TAAAGTGGAACGGGGTATAGTGCTGTCTTGACGTTACATTTTTTTTTTAATTACTTACTCGCACATTGGAGTAGTCAATACGTGAGACCTACCCTCTCAAGAAGTCTGCGAATGCGAAGACTAAATTCAAGACTGAAACGGTGAGTACGACATCGATAAATTCAGACCAATGTAGCATTTTTAACGGCACTTCTGTTTTGGGGTTGTCAGCGAGGGAGAAACGCATTGTCTTGATGTTATCTTATGATTGTGCAAACTTAGCGCGTAAGCTATAAATGTGTCTTCTCAGAGAAAAAAAAAGATCAGCTGAATTTGTTGAGGTTATTTCCAAGCTTCCATTTATTTAATAAACACTATTTAATTAGGTTTATCCTACATTTTATTGACTACTCTCAAACAGTCAGAGGCCAACATAAAGGTGATAAGGACACAAAAATTAAACCTCTGGCGCTGCCCAGCCGCACCTAATAAATGTTATTCGTAAATAACCTCTCTATACCCAAATATCATTAATTAAATCTAGAATTCGAATGCAAATCACGAACAACTACGAACGCAACTCATCAGGATATCGCCATTTTGTTTGGGAAAATTTATCATATATGCTAATCGCGGTTTTAATATGTATTATATATACGATATTATATGTCATATATAAAATATCATACATCATATAATATCATATATTGAATATTATACATACTAGGCTCGTTTTTTTTTTTTTTTTTTTTTTTTTTTGCCAGGTTACTGCAAGGTAGGGTGCGACATAAAATTTCGCCTAGGTACGCTTATTTTAATAAATGCCCAACGCTGTGTAGAGGTCCTTTTCCTCCAGCGAAGAGAGATGCGTATACTCACAATAAAAACTCTGGGGGTGTCGCTTCTCCGCAGTACACTGGTGGACGGTGAGAAGCACACTCAACGGAGCCAACTAACCCGCGCGTAGAGACCTCGAACAATGACGAGCAAGAGGTCCGAGGACCGTCACGGTTAGATACGAAAAAAAAAAATGGAATAGCACTCTACTCGAGGTGATAATCGAGAGTTTTCGCACAAGTCTACTGTAACAATCTGCCAATGTAGCGATGCCTGCGCTATTAGTTTCCGTGAATAGAAATTACCGGTTGGCGCAATGTTGGCGCAAATTCCTTACATTTTGGTGAAAGGTAGGATGTAGCCGGCTAAGAATTGTGGCGCAGTTTAGCGCAGTAATCACATTATTGGTACGATCGTCACATCATTTGACTAATTTTGTTGGCATTTTCTTTTCCCCCAGTAGCAATCTTCTACGTCCTGGGATAGCATACCGCAACATCGTCGTGCTCACCTACCGGCTCGAATACTACCAATATTTTTTTTTAGCCTGTGAATACCCGGTTAGATGAGCATTGAATTTGGAAACATGACTTTTCGCCGTTTCTCTACCACCACCTGCTTCTTGTCTTCTTCTGCCATTCGAGCTCCGTAGAGCGGTATCGCAAGCTTGCCGATTGATTCCTGGGGATTTATTCTTTTCATAAACGCTATCCTTTTGGGTGTGCTCCAAGAGCATATTAATGTTCGACAGGGAACCTCCAGCTTGCATGCACCTGAATGAAGTCAAGGCTACGTGCATACACTAGAGGACAGACAACCAAACGACGAGGTATTCACTAATGCTAATTGCTTTGTCGTTCTCTAAAGATGAGAGCCCTACGGACGCTTTCCCTAACTTGACACTTCTGCCAACGCAAGTGCACGTAAGAAACGCATGAATGCTGACATGGCTGCGGTCGATCTAGCGCACTTTATAGATAATTTTACACTCTAAAGAAGTTCTCAGGCGTCTGCTTTTCCGCCGAGCACAGCCAATCAATCCAATCTAGGGAGAAGACTCGGTGAATGACGAGGCCGAAGAAAAAAATATATACGACGTAAGAATGAAGTTTGCGCTGGGACAGTGGGCATGACGTTTCATAATGTCCAGTGTCCCATGGCCCTTCCCCCCCGCCTGCGTTCACGCCGCTTCGCGGCGACAGTCTGCGACGGCTCATTACAAAAAAACAAAAACAAAAATAATTAGCCCACCTGATCGACCCGTACACGCCACTTCGCGGCGACAATCTCATGCAGCTTATTACAGAAAAAAATGCTAATCTGAGCTGTCGACGAGACGATTTGTCGATTAAACGATCTGTCGATGAAACATTGCGTGTCGATGAAACGATCAGTCGATGAAACATCATTCGATGAACTGATTGCCAATGACTTGGATGAGGTACAACCAAACAGGATTTTTTACTTCGCTCAACTACAGAGAAGCTAACCGTATCTAGACTTATAAATAAAACAAACGGTATCTAGACTTACGAATAAAACAGTAAGATATTTGCGAGTCATTCATTTGCGCGTCAGTTCTTGCACGGAAGTGCAACAAAGAAATGTTCTCATGCTCTCTATTCGATCGTCGCCGTCTGCGCCGAAGTTGGTGAGAAATGTGCTCATTGTATTCGTTAGGTTGCGTGCGGAAGCAAAGCATATTTGGCATATTTGCTGTTCTATAGTCCCTATACCGAAAAACCCGGTATAACTTTTCGCTGTCTGGATTATGGAACTGGAAATCTATCTGGATTCTATCTGGATTTCAGAATTTCAGAAATTATTCTTTTGTCTACAATTGGAATTTCAGGTTTACAAAAACAATTCCAGTTAGATTTCCAGTTTCATCACCTAGATAGAGAAAAAGTATACTGGGTTTTTCGGTAGGGGTGGGTCTAGATTAATTGGCAATAGAAGTGGGGACAACGTCAACATCCTATAAGTTTCAACTTATACGGGACGTGTAGATTCATCAAATTGAATTCGTTTCCGCGTTGTTTCATTTCCGAATAGCAATCATCAAGGACGTTGTACATTTAAATTTCTTTGGCTTCAACTCGCACGGTGTCCTTGTTTTTTGTTGTATGTTTGTACTAGAATACCTGCTGCTCGGAATTGGCCATGTATGCTATAGTGGTTCTTCGCTGACCTCTCACCGGCCTACGTGAGGCTCGCTAAGTTTTTTTTTTTTTCTACTTCTCTTTTTTTTGTCTGTGTGTCGGGTTAACTAAAAAAACTACCGGCACCGAAATTTGTCTAATTTTGTTTGTCGACTAACGTTGATCTGAAGTGTGGAAGAAAGTAACAAAACAAAATGTCGCTTGATTAATACACGATTGCGTGTTTTTCGCCCAAGTTAATTGTGAACTATTTTTTTTGGGTATTAATTAGAAGCATGATTTCTGTGACAATGAAACTTTCTGCTTGATAGCTCGTTAGAAAAAAGATATTGTCAGAGGTTTCTGTTTTATTTTTAAGTGCGCCTAGGCAAACTACCATTGAAACGATTAGGTTCAAAGTGAGGCATCCTTGAAACTAATCATTTCACAGGTGGTTGCAGCCCACGCACACACACACACTCACGTAGCCAGAGAAAGCACTAATTAACTGCCGCGGCTGAGATTTAGATTGCTGTTGCGGCTTGGTCGATTACGTTGCTTCGAGTTTAGGGCAAGCGACTTCAACCAAGTATGATTAACTGCACTTTGTAATGCGGTAGTTTAGAAAGATAACCCTGAGAATTTGTGGCCTGTGATTGCCCGTATCCAGGAAGTGATGTGACGTTTAAAACTTTAAACACATAGTTCTTACGAGGCGAATGCGCCACGATTTATTTTTATTGTCGGCTGGAGTGAAGCGTAAAAACTCGCACTGAAATTGTTACAATTTAAAAATGTTGCCATTGTAAGTAAATGAATACAGCAGGATCGTGAGCCTACTCCAATCTTCTATTGCATTTGAAAAAATTGTCCCACTTTCCAGTTTCTTAGCAGCGCCGTTTGAAAGCCAGTCTTAGAATGTCGTTATATGGGGCCATGGCGCTTTTAGCAAATTTGCATATCATTTTTTGCGCTGCTCTTTCATTCTCAGCGACAGTGCAATTGCTTCGAGAAATTCATCCTGAATTTTGAGGGGATGTTTTTCTAGTTCGAATTATATTCTAGTGGTGAAGGAGTCAATAACCAAGCAGGCAAACGAAAACAATACGAATTGTATGCGTCTCGAGGCAGTGGCGAACACACAGGCGAGCCCGCAGGTGAGGTTGTGACATTTTAAAACTAAGACCGTAATTGACAAAGAGAGAATACGAACACGAAACTGAACTATCAAGACACAAGGTGCGAAATTGGTCCCATCTTTCGTCCCAGCCAGTCAGGGATGCAAAATATTAGACTATCGATTTCAGAGTGTGATGCATACAATAAAACTAGATATTAGGTTATTTGTCCTTCCTCGTGATGCCATCCTTGATATCCATACCACTGCCCCTTTACAGCTTGTCACATAGAAATTCTGACAGGCTGCTGCGATAAAAAAAAACAAAAAACATTACACTGGAACCGTTGAATCGACATGATCGTTAGAAGCAGAAGTTTCTCGTCGTCAAGTTTCCTATTTCTCTTTCTTTCTATTGTTCATCACAAGAGTTCCTGTTCATACGCATACTGCTCGAGGTATTTCGGACTCCCTTACCAGGAGCTGCCGAAAGCCACGAGCTATGTTTATGCTGCTTCAATTAAACCCCAATAATTCCCTCTCGTCTGGGTCACGAGGAAGAAAAGCCCGGACAACTTCTTTGTGTACCTCGTTGTTTTACAGCAACTCCACCCTATAAGAGGAAAACGCGTCCGCGCTGCCTAACGTTTAACGAAGGGCTCTTCACAGCCGAGAGCGATACAGAGGTGCGCCAGCCGCACCTGTGTACACTCTCAGTGGGAAGCATAAATGCAAGAGGGGTACGCGGACATCGAGATTGATTCGCAACGTTTGGCCCAAAGAGCATCGGGTTTCGCCAGAGCCTGCACTAGCACCAAAAAGCGAACAAGACCGCCGAACAGGAGTGGCGCGAACGCGACCTGTACGCTCACTCGTCTTGATGAAGAATCGCAATTAATGATGGGGTAGCCCCGCGGTCTTCCTACCTGTGCAGCTGCTCGACCTCCACCGGCAGTCGCTGAAGGTAGTTGGAGGCTGCATTGAGGACGACGAGACCTCTGGCGTCCCAGAGACCCTCGGGAAGTTTCTGTAGGCCGCAGTCGGCCACATTGAGACGTTCCAGGGTCTCCGAGAAGGCGCCTCGGACCACGAGGCTCTCGAGGTTTCGATGTCGCAGGTCGAGGACTTGACCCGTCAGAGGAACATCCTCCTTGGCAACGTCGGGGGAAGGTGAAGTGCGAGGCGTGTCCCTGTTGCTCACCGAAGGGGGGTCGGAGCCGGTCTCGAACCCGGTGTCGGACCCGGTCTCGGACTCGTTTGATTCCGAAGACACAGTCATGGTGCTCCTGGTTCTCCGATCGGGTTGACGCGACGGCCGGACGTTCGAGTTCGGCGGGGCGGAGTGCCCCGGAGCGCCGAGCGGCCCTTGGACGTCCCTCTAGGCACGTGGTGCACCGTCACGACTCGGGTCGTGGTCGGCTTGGGCGCCGAGGCCGGACGAGGCATCCCGCTCACGCTCGGGCCGGGCCATGACGAGAGGTTCCAACCGCGGTCACGCTAGCTGCACTTCCGGTCGCTTCCTCTGGCGTCGGCGGCGAAGCGGAGTCGCGAGGAGGTGCGCGGAAACACCTGGCGTCGACGGAGTGGTCGGGCGGAACTCTCCCAGGAACACCATCTGCCGCTGCTCGGAGGGAGACCTCCTTCAAGGTGGACGATCTCTTCCACCGCACAAAGACCGTTCTCTCCCCTCGCCGTCGCCATTGCCGCGGAGGCCTCCTCGCCAGCCAATGGGGCGCTTTCCTGCTTTCACCCTCCTCCTCTGCCATCGGTCCCGGGACCGTGCAAACAGCGGCAAGAAAAGCGGAGCGTTCTATCAAAAGGGCGGGGTGCCGCGGCTTCACCTGTGCGCCGTGGCCCTTCTCGCCCAGGCGTGCCTGTTGCGTGTGTGCGTACCGTGTTTGGGTCGGGGTGGTTTTCCTTTCTCGGCGTGAGAAGCGGCGGAGGGCCTGGCTTTCGCGGCGCGCCTTCGCCGACTCTCGTTCGACTCTGGCGCTCAAGTCCCGTTGCGCGTTCGTGACGCTGGGGGGATGCCATCTGCGGGTCGAACATTTCCACTGCTCATTGGGCATGGCTTCCGAACAAGCGGAGCGCGTCTGGCCCGTAAAAGTGCGCTGTTGCACTTCCTGAACCTTTCCGTCGTGTAGGGTCGCACACGCTAGGCATTAATTTGTTTGTGCAAACATTCAGATGCGTGGATTCGATAACCTGGCCCTTTGAGAACAGAGGAGAACGGGAGTATCGAAATTGTGCTCATATGGAATCATATTCGACGGGCGCAGCGGAAGGGAACGTTTTTATTTCGCCGGCTGTTTCGTGCAGTTGTCAGAGATTTTTGCTCGAAACAAGAGGGTCTTTTCCCCTCAAATTTGTTTCCTGTTTGAAACATGAAATTCGTTTTGTCAGAGAGGACCCGCTAATTGTTTTTTTAAACATAATATTGTTGTGTTTTTTTTTTGTTCTTTTTTTTATCGAGCAACCTTTTTTACTTGGACTAATCGCTTAAGTTGCAGGCGAAGAATCATGCGGCGTCATGATTACAGGATCACTTGAAAGTGTAGCGTGGAAAAATCGAGTGAAGCTGTTTTGTTTCATTTCGTTCGATTTCCTCTATATACACTGGTGTGTATTTTTTGTGTGTGGGAGAGGGAAGAATACGGTAAAGGGAGCGATGATAGAAGGTTTTAGAACAGCGGGCCCTGACGCTTTGGGTCCCTCGACCAACCTGGGACATCGCACTGCGCATGAACACTGCGACGCCCCAAGCTGCTCGCGGGCGGGCCCAAATTATTGGGGCCCCTATTCTAAAACTATCTAATAAAGGTCACTCTAAACATAGGCTAATGCTCGGGCATCTACTTTGTCGCAGAGCACTCGGAAAGTCTATCACGACAATATGCGAAAAAACAAAGCAAAAAAACTCAGTAAATGACAAAAAAGAAAAAAAAACACACACACACACACACATACAAAAAAAAAAAACACTTCTACCGAAGAATGAAGTTTGTAGTGGGACACTAAGTGGCAGCATCACGTTCCACGTGCTCATATAATTTGTGTAGAGCCTATGTTAGACAGTACGGCTCGTCCTTCGTAACTCGTGACATTTTCTAAGGCGTCTCCCGTTGAGAGTGTACCGTTCTCTCGTATTTGTATACGAGGCGCAATTCTTTCAGCCCGTATATATGGGCGAGAAGCAACATAAATGCTCCAATTAGGAGTGGTGCTCGCTTACTCTCAGCCCTTGATACGGCCGGGTCAGTCGGTGCTATATATAGGTCCAGCTATCTAATTTCCACGGGATGCGGGTCATTTGTTCCCAGCGTGGCGCGCATCAAAGCTGCCCTTAGATTCGGAGGTCGCAATCTCATTCTTGCGAGCCATGGCGTTCTCCGCGCAGTACAAGATATCCCTCGTGGCCCCCTTTTCTTTTTTCGGCATTCAGCGTTGCAATAAAATTCGTTGCTCAGAGCAAACATCCAACTCATTCGAACCAAGTGGTGAATGGCCGAGATACGTGAACGTATATACCTGAGCAAGGTTGAGTGATATACCTTAGGGGATGGGATACATTGACACTCTAATGTCGTTCTTTCTGTTTTCATTTCACCCTCAATCTAAAGTTAGATTTGCTCCGGTGTGTAAATGCGAACAAGGATACAAGGAAACGGCAGAGGCAGGAAGACAGCATTTTCGAGAAAAGGAATCCTCTGAAAAGCCTCGAATGGCAGCTGACATCCCAGCTGAGTCTGTTAGCGAAACCTGGAATCTGGATTTCATAGAACTCTCTAGTCAAAACCGTTCACCGCGAGCCAGTATATGTTTTCATACGCCCGTTTTTAAACCACTATACAGCCTCCAAACTGCAGGTCCGCGATAACAACCACCATTGCGGAAGGTGCGCCTTCGTATTGTGATTCGTTCGTATAGCCGATGAGATCAGTTGCAGCGTGACGATACAGTTCATATTTCGACCTCGAAAGTTATTCTTCTATTCAGGTCTCCGTTACACCCTCATTCATCGGCATTGAGCGAGGCCTTTTAACATCCCGCGTCTTATGATCGATGGCTCCACAGCGTCTTCGAACCTCCGGTGAGCAAATTTATTCCCTCGCGTAAGGACACACTGCCCGGTAACCGGCCCAGATCGGATGTGATAGTGCACGCTGCTTGTATATACAAAAGACGTCCATGCCCGTATATACTTGGAAGGGGGCCTCCAGACGAAACTCGTCGGCTTCCCGACTCTGCTCCAATTATCCGCGCATACGGGGCTGCCTGTAGCGCCTCGCGCGCTCCTCCGCGCTCCGTGGCAGACTCGTCGCCGTCCATTGTTCCCAGCCGGGGGCTTTCGCCCGCATTTAGCGGGGTTCATTTATCGCCGTCCTCCCTGCGCGCGGAACGAGCGGTAGGCAGCCTTCGTCCGTCACTGCAGCACCTTGATTCAGGCAGGCTCTCCAGACGCCTGCCCGGTCGTGCCGACAGGAAGCTGGTCGCGGGCCGCCAGACCTTTCAGTCCTCTTTTCTCTATCTGCCTACTTTTAATTGCGGTTATCATTGAGGCCCAAGAGGCGACGCTGTGGGACAGCTGCGCGCTGCTCACTCCGTGCTCGTTCCACTCGTCACGGTTTTCGCGCTCTCTCTCAGCTACGCCGTTGATTGTCTCATTGGTCGTCTATTGTCTCATTTGCCTCTCGCCGAGGAAGTATGTCGCCGAGGAAGCGATTTTCCTTGCATTGTCTGGCGGGCCGGAGTCTCCCGTGGCTCGGCACGCTCGCTGTCGTCCCCGTTGAAACGAACGGGGCTGCGGAGAAAGGCTGTCTCTGCGCGCGCGCGCAGGATCACCGCGCTCTGGTTTGCATGAGGGAGCAGAGACGATGTGAACGAGTTCTGTTGGCCCCCTCGTTGCGACTACGGAGTGTCGAGAAATTAAGCTGGGCAGAGGCAGGCTTTGCTCGGGTTTTGCTCCTTGGCACAACGGCTCTCCTGATTCACAAGCAACCGTGTCTACCTATGTCTACCTTGCCCCGTGGCTGTCCCCTGGATTGGGCGTAGCTTCCCGTTTCTTAGGTCGTTCAGAGTTCCATGCACGAACGATGGTTCATAGTGATATTAGTCTCAAGATTCGACCCGGCCTTGGGCGTTTCGGTGAAGAGCGTGAATGATATGCTATACGAAGAACCTCTCCCGAGGCACTCAAAAGAATGACCGCTGAGACCGGCGCTTCGGATGGCCGTCTTTCCCCTCTTGGGCCGGATACGTCGCCGTTCCGGAGAGCGTGACTGCTCTGTTCCGCTTTACAGCGGCGTCCACCTTGGCCGTGCGCCGGCCACAAACCCCGCGTCCCGGGCATTCGAGAAAGTTCATCGACCCGCGTGAGTGAGCCCGTGCCATTCATCGCCCACGCCGGCTGACTCGCGTCGTCCGTTGGTTCCGCTTAGTCGTTGACTCGAGACACACTGCAAGCGGCCGCCTTTTGACGCCAACGGTCACTGTCCAGACCGGCTCAGTCTGCGACGCCAGCGGGATGATCCAGGACCGTTTCGAGCGCCGGTGCTCGTCAGAGCCTTGCGGTGGACAGCCACGGTCGCTTGACTGGGATGGACCACCGTCGTAGACACACACACACACATACACGCAGAAACACACGCAAATACACATAAACACACGAAGACACAGAGTCGTTATGTCATTGAATCTCCGCTCCAATCTCGCTGGACTGCTTTTGTGGTCTACGGATCAAAGAGCTCGCGCTCAAAGAAGAGTGGAGCGCACACCATCGATTGCTGGAGATTTCAGGTCTCCGCGTGCATGCAGCCCAGCGTTGCTGTGGATCCCAAAAACCCGACCTGGCGGCGTACGTTCGCAAGGAGGCAGTCCACTCGACGAAATCGGCTTTGCCGACTGCCTGCCGCCTTAGCTTCCTTCGAGGAGTTCCAAGCGGCCGAAGCATTTATTTTCGGAAAGTTGCGAGATTGAGATCGGCCGTGCGCGTAAGCTGTGGCTTTGCATCTACATAGCGGTATCCTTTACTCGGCAATGTCTGGGCATTGTCCGCAATGGTTTTTTTTCTGAAGGGGTGCACTGCATATGCTCTGCCAAGGAGGAAAGTATAGTGTTTTGGTTGTACATGAAACATATTCGAATTCATTATCAATGGAAATATTTTTCGGATGGCAGTGAAAGAGCGCCGCTTATTCTCGCATAGCCTGTGTTTCTAGAGCCGTGGACACTATATATGGAAGTCCCAACAAAGAACAAACTTTCTCGTTTGTTGAGAAA